CTGCGTCGGCGACGGTTGAGAGTCCCTGCTCGAGCTTGAATAAATGACCCTCGTGTGTTTGCATCGAAATCAGCTCCTTGTTGGTCTTTGGGGACTTCGCGATCTGGGCACAACATTTGGGGCCTCGTCCAGGATCCCCAAGACCAACAGGAACCCCATACCAGAGGGCTGACACCGGCCGGTAAGTGTCTCTGTGTCTGTGAAGTCTGGGGCCCATTTTTTTTTGAGCAGGTCGGCAGACGGTCTAGGCAGACGTGCTGGAGGGCCGCCGATCCGGGGTCCTGGAAGATGTTCCGGACGCCCCTGGAGGGGATGGAGTGCCCCGCGAGTCTCTGAGACTTCTGGAAGGATGGTGCGGGTCGCTCCCGTGGCACGGTGTGAGGCTGCCGTCTCACTTTCAGTTTTGCCTCCAATCGGGCGGAGGACGATTTTGTCTTGCTTTTTGTTTTTCTGTTGTGTTTGTCTGTCTGTCTATCGTGTATTTTCATCACTTGACTTGGACCGAGACGATGGGACAGACTGCTACCACCCCCCTGTCCCTCATGACAGACCCTTTTAAAAAAGTTACGGAGCGTGCTCATAACCTAAGTTTAGAAGTTAAAAAGACTAAATTCATCACCCTCTGTAGCTCGGAGTGGCCCACCTTTGGAGTAGGGTGGCCACCCGAGGGGACCTTTGATCTAGGGACCACAAGGAGAGTCCAGGAAGTCGTCTTCCGTCCTCATACGGGACACCCTGACCAGGTTCCCTATATTGTCACTTGGGAAAATCTAATATGTGACCCCCCTTCATGGGTCAAGCCCTTTTTGCCTCCACAGAAACAGCAACCGGAGGTAATCCTGACAGCCTGTGAAAAGACTCCCAGAGAACGCGATGGAAAAAGGCAAACCGAAACCAAGCCAACTGCGCTGCTTTACCCGGTCCTCCAAGGAGGAACCGAGGAAGATCTTCTTCTCCCCCCTTACCACTCTCTCTCTACTCCCCCGCGACAGCAGGCAGGGAAAGAAGTCCCGGCCCCAGCCAGAGCTGGACAGGGAGGGCCGGCCCCGGGCGCCGGCAGCGGGGATGGCCCCGCCCAGAACATGTGCCACCGGCATGCTGCCTCGCTGGCAGGACTGGCAGACTCTACTATTCTCCCGCTGAGAGCGACAGGGCCCCCTGATGAGCACGGTAACCAACCTCATCACTACTGGCCCTTCACCACCAGTGACCTTTATAACTGGCATACTCAACAAGCCAAATTCTCAGACAACCCTAGGGATTTAACTAACCTATTAGAAACTGTTTTGTTCACTCATCAGACCACCTGGGATGATTGTCAACAGCTCCTCCAGATCCTGTTTACCACAGAGGAGCGAGAGAGGATCCAAAATGAAGCCAGGCAATTGGTTCCTGGTGACAATGGTCAACCCACCACCAATGTTGACAGTATCAACACTTCTTTTCCTTTGTCCCGGCCCGACTGGGACTTCAACACAGCAGAAGGTAAGGAGAGGCTCCGGGTTTACTGCCAGGCTCTGCTGGGAGGTCTCAAAGCAGCTGCTTGAAAGCCCACCAATTTGGCCAAGGTAGGGGATGTACAACAGGGACCGAACGAAAGCCCTGCAGCCTTCCTAGAAAGAATTCAGGAAGCCTTCCGTAGGTATACTCCTATGGACCCAGAAGCAACTGAGAGAAAGGCAGCTGTAATAATGCATTTTGTCAACCAGGCAGCGCCAGATATTAGGAGAAAGTTACAGAAAGTAGACAGATTAGGAGAAAAGAGTATTCAGGACTTAGTGGCAGTGGCAGAGAGAGTGTATAACAACAGGGAAACTGCGGAGGAAAGACAGGTAAAGGCTGACAACCGCCAGACCTGAAACCTGGCTCGGATCCTTCTGGCCACCACTGCAGGAGAGCCGAGAGAATGTGAACGTCATCTGAGAAAAATTGCGGTGGAAGGAGAAGGTAAGGGGGAATGCAGGGAGCGCCCCCGGTTGGGGAAAAATCAATGTGCTTACTGCAAAGAGGAAGGTCACTGGGCTTAGGAGTGCCCCAAAAAGAGACAGGGAGGCCACTCAAAGGCCCCCATCCTGGCCATGGACGAAATAAGTGATTGGGGGGACGGGGCTCGGCGCCCCTCCCCGAGACCAGGGTAACCCTTAAAGTGGAGGGGAAACCCGTTGAGTTCCTAGTAGACACCGGAGCTCAACATTCAGTTCTGCTTAAACCACATGGCCATATATCTGACAAAACTTCCTGGGTCCAAGGAGCCACAGGCATAAAAAAGTATTCATGGACTACCCGAAGAATGGTGGACTTGGGAGTGGGCTGGGTAACCCACTCATTTATGATTATACCTGATTGCCCCTATCCTCTACTTGGAAGAGACTTGCTCACTAAGTTAGGAGCCCAAATCCATTTTCAGCCTGGGGGCGTGGAGGTCTTTAACCAGGAGGGAAAGCCCATCCAAGTGTTAACTATGAGCCTTGAGGATGAGTATCTGCTACACCAGGGGCAGCCCCCCCCCGAATCCTGATGTGGAACAATGGCTTTCCATGTTCCTGCAAGCATGGGCAGAGACTGGGGGCATGGGGCTGGCTGCACACAGGACACCTGTGTTTATAGAAATAAAGCCAGGAGCGGACCCTGCATGAGTTTGCCAATATCCCATGTCCCTGGAGGCCCACAAAGGAATAACTCCACACATCAGGAGGTTACTTGCTCAGGGTATTCTAAGGCCCTGTCAATCGGCCTGGAACACCCCCTTGTTGCCGGTACGGAAACCCCGCTCAAATGACTATCGACTGGTGCAGGACCTCCGTGAGGTAAACAGAAGGGTCATAGATATCCACCCTATGGTGCCTAACCCATACACCCTTCTGAGCTCAGTTCCCCCGAGCCATCAATGGTACACGGTCTTGGATCTCAAGGATGCCTTCTTTAGCCTTCCGCTGGCACCCAAAAGCCAGCATATCTTTGCATTTGAATGGAGTGACCCGGAACAAGGCCTCAACGGACAGTTGACCTGGACCTGATTACCTCAGGGGTTCAAAAACTCCCCCACCATCTTCGACGAGGCCCTGCATGAAGACCTGGGTGAGTTCCGCCTCCAAAACCCCCAATTGACTCTGTTACAATATGTAGATGATCTCCTTATAGCAGCTAAGACGCAGGAGGCCTGCCTAGATGGAACCAAGAAACTCTTGACGGTCATAGGGGAACTGGGGTACTGGGCGTCTGCCAACAAGGCCCAAATCTGTAAACCTGAGGAAAGCTACCTAGGATACATACTCAAAGAAGGGCAGAGGTGGCTGTCTGATGCTAGAAAAGAGACAGTTCTCAAGATACCCGCACCAGATTCCCCTCAAAAGGTTAGAGAATTCTTGGGATTGGCTGGCTTCTGCTGCTTATGGATACCGGGGTTCGCAGAACTTGCAAGGCCCCTTTATGAGACAACTAAAGACAATCAGGCCTTTCAATGGGCAGAAAAACTACAAAAGTCCTTTGATCAAATTAAAGCTGCCTTGTTGTCAGTGCCAGCCTTGGGCTTGCCTGATGTCACTAAGCCTTTCTACCTTTACATTGATGAAAACAAAGGAGTTGCCAAGGGCATCTTAGTCCAATATCTGGACCCGTGGCGCTGACCAGTAGCATACCTGTCCAAAAAACTTGATCCTGTTGCAGCTGGATGGCCCCCATGCCTGAGGATGATTGCTGCAGTGGCCCTGATGGTCAAAGATGCTGATAAGTTGACCTTGGGCCAAGAACTGTATGTGACCACCCCCCACGCCATTGAAGGGGTTCTAAAACAGCCTCCAGATAGATGGCTCAGCAATGCCCGCCTAACCCACTATCAGGGCCTACTCTTAAACCCAACCTGAGTTGTCTTCCAGACCCCGGCTGCCCTAAACCCGGCTACATTATTGCCTGACCCAGACCTGGAGGCCCCGCTGCATGACTGCACTGACATCTTGGCTCAGGTACACGGGACCCGAGCAGACCTGAAAGATCAACCATGGCCAGATGCTGAAGACACCTGGTACACTAATGGGAGCAGTTTTATTCAGGATGGCCGAAGGTATGCTGGGGTGGCTGTGGTCACTGAGACTGAGGTCGTTTGTGCTGAACCCTTGCCCACTGGAATGTCAGCACAGCGAGCAGAGCTCATAGCGCTAACCAAGGCACTGACTCTGGGAAAGGGCCAAAAGCTAAATATATACACAGACAGCAGGTATGCTTTTGCCACCGCTCACATACATGGGGCCATATACAGGGAAAGAGAACTGTTAATGGCTGAAGGAAAGACTATTAAAAACAAAAAGGAAATTCTCGCCCTACTGGAGGCCCTATGGCTGCCAAAGAAATTGGCTATTGTCCACTGTCCCGGGCACCAAAAAAACGATACTCCGGTTGCCCGAGGAAATAATTTGGCCAACCAGACAGCTCGAAAAATAGCCCTAGAGGCTGATCTGATGCTGACCACTCAACTGCCCAATCCAGGGGGGCGCTGCTTTGCCAGAAAAACCTCAGTACACTGAGGCGGACTTAAAATGGATAAAACAACTGCCCATGACCCAATGCCTCAAAGGATGGTGGAAATCATCTGACTGCAAAATCATTCTACCTGAGGCCTTGGGAGAACAAGTTCTCTCCAAAATGCACTGATCCACCCACATGGGTGTCCGCAAGATGCAGGACCTCTTAAGACACACTGAAATCAAGATTCGAGATGCCAGTACCAAAATAGAATGCATTGTTGCTACTTGCAAGACCTGCCAACTGACCAATGCTACCTCGATTAAGGCTAACCCTGGCAGCAGATTGAGAGGAGACCGACCTGGCGTATACTGGGAGCTAGACTTTACTGAGGTAAGACCTGGAAGATATGGTTACAGATACCTGCTAGTCTTTGTAGACACTTTTTCAGGATGGACAGAAGCTTTTCCTACCAAACATGAGACAGCACAGATTGTGGCCAAAAAGCTGCTAGAAGACATCTTTCCAAGGTATGGTTTCCCAGTAATGTTAGGATCAGACAATGGACCCGCCTTCGTTTCCAAGGTGAGTCAAAGTTTAGCTCAGGTACTAGGGGCAGACTGGAAATTACATTGTGCATACAGACCCCAGAGTTCAGGGCAGGTAGAGAGAATGAACAGGACCTTAAAAGAGACCTTAACTAAATTAGCCTTAGAGACTGGCAGCAACTGGGTGGCTCTCCTTCCCTTTGCCCTCTATAGGGTATGCAATTCACCCTATAAGATGGGACTGACTCCCTTTGAGATCATGTTTAGGATACCTCCTCCTATTGTCCCTAACATCCAGTCAAAAGTGCTTGCTGAATTTGATGACCAAAAATCGTTATTTTCCTTAAAAAGCCTCCAGCGTGTTCATGAGGATGTCTGGCCTAAATTGAAAGCCCTGTACGAGTCTGGACCACCGCCCGAGCCCCATCGCTACTGACCAGGGGACTGGGTCTATATTCAGAGACATCGACAAGAGAACCTTGAGCCTCACTGGAAAGGACCATATGTTATAATTCTGACCACGCCCACAGCTCTTAAAGTCGATGGGATAGCCACTTGGGTACACTACACACACGTTCGACCAGCGGACCCCTTTGCAGTTCGAGACGACTTCACCCCACCATGGCGAGTGTCCAGAGACCGAGACAACCCCCTCAAACTCAAATTACGTCACCAACCATCTTAATGACGGTAATGATTCTCTATCCAACGGTGTTAAGAGGACAACACATTCCCCTTAATATGACTTGGATCATTACTAGTGCCTCCACAGGTGAAATTGTAAATAGCTCTTCCAAAACGGCCCCCCCATTAACCTGGTGGCCTACCATAAACTTTGACCTGTGCTTACTAGCAGCAGGAACATGGGATATCGGAGACTGGGAAACAAAATCAAAAGGAAAACCTGAATGTGCAGAGGGTATCAATAGATGTAACATGAGAGTATCAACCTCCTCTGCCCCCGGGTGCAGTCACCCCTTCCAGAGAGCCGCTTTGTGAACCACCCCGTTCTACGTTTGTCCAGGAGGAGGACACAAGCAAGCCCAGACCAATAAATGTGGAGGTCCTGATAAGTTCTATTGCACGGACTGGGGATGTGAATCCACCAGTACCATTTCATGGACCCCTCCCATCAAAACTGATCTGATCTCTTTAACAAGAGTCCCAGGACCACCAGGCCTCCAAGGGGGACATACAAGGGGCTCTATGATTACCGGACCCTGCATGGGATTCCTCTGCACTCCAGTGAGTCTTTCATTTACTGATGAGGGAAAAAAATACCCGGGATGGGTGACGGGCCGAACTTGGGGACTCCGTCTATACCAGAGTGGTTATGATAATGGCCTCTTGTTCAATGTTAGGCTAAAAATGGAACCCCTCACCAATGGGCCCACTCGTCCCGTCGGACCCAACCCTGCACTAGCCCGTCCAGCCCCTAAACCTGCCACTTTAGCCCTTCAACCTGCCAGTCCCCCCAGGACACACTAAGCCCATCTCTACCTCCTTCCCAGAGCACCACCAAAATTACTACAGACTCAGGACAAAGCCAAATCCCAGACGACTCTCTCTGGTAGCTTATGGTTAGAACTTTTAAAGCCCTAAATACATCCAGACCTGACCTCACCCAGTCTTGTTGGCTATGCTATGACATTAAGCCCCCTTATTATGAGGGAATAGCTTTCCCAGAAAACTTTACTGAGTCAGACAGTCCTACATTATGTAGATGGCAACAGAAGGGGACAGCCAGACTAACCCTACAATCTGTGACTGGACAGGGAGTTTGTGTTGGTAGTGTCCCAGCCACTCATCAACACCTTTGCAGCCAAACCTATCAGTCTAGTTCAGAAAAATACCTTATACTCCCTTCTGATGGATGGTGGGCTTGCTCCACAGGGCTTACCCCTTGCACACATGGGAAGGTGCTCAACCAGACTGGAGACTTTTGTGTGCTAGTACAATTAGTTCCTAGACTATTATATCACCCAGAAGAAGATATTTTTAATGACTTAATCAGGACCCCAGGTAGAGTCAAACGAGAACCTGTAACAGCCATCACTCTGACAGTTCTCCTAGGTTTAGGATTAGCTGGGGCAGAAACAGGGGTCTCCTCATTAGTGTTACAAAACAAACATTACAATGATTTGAGAGCGGCCATAGATACAGATATTGAAAGACTAGAAAACTCCATCTCCCACCTACAAGAGTCACTAACCTCCCTGGCAGAAGTAGTTCTCCAGAACCGAAGAGGACTAGATTTAATTTTTCTACAACAAGGAGGGCTCTGTGCTGCCTTAGGTGAAGAATGTTGTTTTTATGTAGACCACTCAGGAGTGGTCAAAGAATCTATGGCCAAAGTCAGAGAGGGTATTGCTAGGCGAAAACGAGAATGAGAACAGAATCAAAATTGGTTTGAGTCCTGATTTAATTCCTCTCCCTGGTTGACCACTCTAATCTCTACTCTGTTGGGTCCCTTTCTTATTTTGTTGCTCTTGTTGACTTTTGGGCCATACATTCTTAATAGATTGGTCTCGTTTATTAGAGAGCGCATTAGCACAGTACAGCTGATGGTACTCCGGTCCCAATACCAACCAGTTTCTGAAGACCTAGTAGAATTGACCCCCAGAGGCCCATGATTGGTCCTCTATAGCCTCATGAAAAGGGGGGAATATAGGACCAGAGCGACTCCATTCTGCTAAGATCAGCTATTCTTCCCCTAGTCTCCCTTATACTCATAAATTAATGGTCAAAATGTGCTTACTCTAGGTCAATAGATAAAATCTGGGCACG